GAAAGTGTCCGGACTGGAAGGGGGTGAAAGGGACTGGAAAGGGTGAAAGTGTCCGGACTGGAAGGGGGGTGAAAGTGTCCGGACTGGAAGGGGGGTGAAAGTGTCCGGACTGGAAGGGGGTGAAAGTGTCCGGACTGGAAGGGGGTGAAAGTGTCCGGACTGGAAGGGGGTGAAAGTGTCCGGACTGGAAGGGGGTGAAAGTGTCCGGACTGGAAGGGGGTGAAAGTGTCCGGACTTGAAGGGGTTAAAATAAAGTACGCAATGAAAATGGAAAGGTTTTATTTACATGTTGATGAGGGTACAAAGGAGGAACCAAGGAGGGCAAAATATATGCAAAATGGTTTTAAAATTCTATTTGCCATCGATCGTTCGGAGAAATTCAGCACAATGGTGGAGTTCAGCAGCGGTTGGTTTCCACAGCAGGCTTGGATTGTGCCTTCTCCGGCTGTTTGCTTTTTTTGCATAATACTTCATTTGTTCAAACAGTGGGAAGGTTTTTTTTTCTTGCTCTCCATCGCATGGCGGGCAGGTGGGAACGTTTAGCAGTTCAAACACATTGCGGCGCTTTTAATCCATTTCACTGGTTTCTAGCCTGTCAGAGAATTGAGTGTAAATCTATCCCTCAGGTGGGCAGCCAGAAGAGAGGCACAAATGGAGATCTTTGCCAAACACCAAAACTGACCTCATCACGTAACCAGGTAAAAGGTAAAACAGTTCAAAAAGCAGTATAAAACCCCAAAGCAAACATGATTACATTTCAATATATAAAAGTAGTGCAACACGAATAATAAACCAGATTAATCCTTATAAAAAAAACGCACAGAAGTTGTAGGTGCATTTAAACTATAAATATGAAAACAATACTCATAGGCAAAGATCCCAAAATATAAAATTGTCTCTAGTAAAAACGCACACACATTAAAGATGTGTTTACGTCATAAATGTCAATAAAATTTCAATAAAGTTCTTCAAAGTGATCGCCAGGTGGCTGTGCTTATTCCCAGTATGTGAGAAATATTCAGGTGGGTGTGCTGATAAACAGATAAAATGCACACTCACCAGATGCACATTTTATGGTATAACCCTCTATATATATGTGCATCTGGTGAGTGTGCATTTTATCTGCACACCCACCTGAATATTTTTCACATACTGGGAATCAGCACAGTCACCTGGAGATCACTTTGAAGAACTTTACTGAAATTTTATTGACATTTATGACAAACGCATGTTTATTGTGTGTGCGCTTTTACTAAAGACAGTTTTATATGTTGGGATATTCTCTTTGCCTATGTTTACATATTTATGGTTTAAACACACCCTCAACCTCTGTGCGTTTTTTTTTTTTTATAAGGATTAATCTGGTTTATTATCTCTTAGCGCTGCACTACTTTTATATATTTATCTGAAGGCTTATGGTTTTTTACCTTTTAGTGTTTTCAGCTGCTTTTATATCTTAGCGCTCGCTTAAAAATTTTTATTTGTTTTATGATTACATTTCAGCTTACCAGTTCTTAGATGTGATGGCTGCATTAGTTTTCCTTTTTTAGGCTTTCTTTCCTTTATTTTCCCCCTGGCGTTCCAGCCGGTAAGTCTGTTGTTTTGCAACAGAACATGCTGTCCTGCAGATGTATCAGTTAGAGTGTTGAGACAAACTATTTGCCACTGACAGGGGTACTTACAATGGTCAGTATTTTTTTTTTTAATTTATGTAAAACATTTATCCCAAAAGGAAAAAAAATAACAGTTTACTATAACTGCTTAAACAGTATTTGCTAGAGTATGACTCCAGGTTGTTTGGTGTATCTAAATCTGCTAGTGAATCTAACACTCCCCTCCTCCCAGGCTGACATTGCTGCTGTCCAAAGGTGCCTCTGCTGCTCCTTCATCCAGAGTGGGGGCGCTCTAATACAGGAGATGTGTTACTGGCCAGGAGAAAACAGGGGGACAAAAAAAACCTTAAAAAAAGAAAACTAAAGCAGCCACCACATTTAACCACTTGCTGGCTAGGTACTTTTATCCCCTTCCTGCCCAGGCCAATTTTCAGCTTTCAGCACTCTCACACTTTGAATGACAATTGCGCGGTCATGCAACGCTGTTCCCATATGAACTTTTTATAATTTTTTTTTCACACAAATAGAGCTTTCTTTTGGTGGGATTTAATCACCTCTGGGGGGGGGGGGGGTTTATTTTTTGCACTATAAACAAAAAAAGAGCAAAACATTTGAAAAAAAAAGTTTTTCTTCGTTTCTATTATAAAAATTTGCAAACAGGTAATTTTTCTCCTTCACTGATAGGCACTGATGAGGTGGCACCGATAGGCAGCACTGATGGGCATTGATGAGATGGCACTGATAGGCAGCACTGATAGGCTGCACTGATGAGGCGGCACTGGTGGGCATTTATGAGGAGACTCTGATGATACTGCACTGATATGCAGCAATGATGGACACTGATAGGCCGCACTGATGGACACTGATAGGCAGCACTGATGGGCACTGATAGGTGGCACTGATGAGGCAGCACTGGTGTGCATTGATGAGGAGGCTCTGATGATGCTGCACTGATATACAGCTATGATGGGCACTAATAGGCAGCACTGATAGGCACTGATAGGCTGCACTGATGAGGTGTCACTGATGAGGAAGCACTGGTGGGCATTGATGAGGAGCCTCTGATGATGCTGCACTGATATGCAGCACTGATGGGCAGCACTGATGGGCACTGATAGGTGGCGCTGATGGGCAGCACTGACTGGAGGCACTGACTGACAGTACTGACTGGCGGCACTGCTGGGAGGCACTGATGGGCACAACTGCTAGGCAGCACTGATGGGTGGCACTGCGGGGCACTTTAGGGTGGCACTGCTGGGCACTGATGGGTGGCACTGCTGGGCACTGATCAGTGCCCTGATCATCGGTGCAGATGTCCTCTGTGACAGTTGCCAATTGCCGATAACGGCAACTGCATTTACCGGTGATCTGCTGTGTCATTGGACACAGCTGATCACGTGGTAAAAGGCAGCTGTGATTGGCCTTTTACCTCATCATGTGATCAGCTGTGTCCATAGGACACAGCGATCACGGACAACACTGGGTGTGCGCCGTTGGGGGCGCACAGGAGGGCACATTCTGGGGAGAACGTCATATGACGCCCCCCCAGAACTGGACAACCGCACTGGAGCCCTCATTCGGTTTAGCGCGGTTGGCAAGTGGTTATAACTGGTGAGCTGCAATATATTACGTTTGGTTTTGGGTTAATACCACTTTAATCTGCTTCTATTTTCCCCTCTTCCATTCTATATGTCTGGAAAAGCTATACATTTCCTTACAGGTAATACATTGTGAGCGGCTTTTCCTGCACCATTGTTACAGGACCTGGCACAACTGTGAGCTTTTACACAACTCGGTCACTGTGTAACTATGTCACCTGCTCCAGGCAGAGCCCAGAATCCATCTAAAGCCAGTTTCTTCCCCGCATCAGCCCTGACACCCACTCTGCAAGAGAGAACACGTCGTTCTGGCTCACCGGCAACGAGGCGTTCACTGACTCACAGTGACAACTCCATGCCATCCACTGAATGAGGTTACACAGAAGATGTGGAGGAGGGAATGGTGTAAGCGTTTATCCTACATTACAGCATTGTTTTCTCTGTAAGTAGAACAGATGTCTACGCTTAGGAAGAAAGAAGAAGGATCTGATTTTTAAAAGAAAGAGGTGACAATTCCTCGAATTGCATTCCCAAGACTTTCATGAGGATTTCATCTAGAGGATTGTACCCAATAAATAACTAGGTCATTGGACATGGATTAAACATCCTGAACATATGCAAAATGTAAACCATTCAACATGGCCGATCACTGGACATGACCATAATACAATTCTATTACACTCTATACGTAGAATACTACACCCCCAACATGGCCGACCACTGGACATGACCTAATACAAATACAATTCTATTACACTCTATACATGGAACACTACACTCCCAACATGGCCGACCACTGGACATGACCATAATACAATTCTATTACACTCTATACATAGAACACTACACCCCCAACATGGCCGACCACTGGACATCATCATAATACAATTCTGTTACACTCTATACATAAAATTCTACACACTCAACATGGCCGACCACTGGACATGACCATAATACAATTCTATTACACTCTATACATAGAATACTACACCCCCAACATGGCCGACCACTGGACATGACCATAATACAATTCTATTACACTCTATACATAGAATACTACACCCCCAACATGGCCGACCACAGGACATGACCATAATACAATTCTATTACACTCTATACATAGAACACTACACCCCCAACATGGCCGACCACTGGACATCATCATAATACAATTCTGTTACACTCTATACATAAAATTCTACACACTCAACATGGCCGACCACTGGACATGACCATAATACAATTCTATTACACTCTATACATAGAATACTACCCCCAACATGGCCGACCACTGGACATGACCATAATACAATTCTATTACACTCTATACATAGAATACTACACCCCCAACATGGCCGACCACAGGACATGACCATAATACAATTCTATTACACTCTATACATAGAACACTACACCCCCAACATGGCCGACCACTGGACATCATCATAATACAATTCTGTTACACTCTATACATAAAATTCTACACACTCAACATGGCCGACCACTGGACATGACCATAATACAATTCTATTACACTCTATTAACCTCTTGCCGACCGCGCATAGCCGGATGACGGCTTCACCGCGGCCGGCCAGTTCTGAGTGGACGTCATATGACGTCCTCTCAGAACGCGCTCTCCTGCGCGCCCCAGGGGGCGCGCACCCGGCGATCTCCGTGATCGCTGTGTCCTACGGACACAGCTGATCACGTGATGTGGTGAAAGGCCGATCACACCGGCCTTTTACCACGTGATCAGCGGTGTCCAATGACACGCTGATCACAGGGAAATGCAAGTGCCGGTTCTTGGCTGCACTTTCCTCACGCTGTCAGATCGTGAGGAAAGTACTGCCGAGAACCGGCAGTTGTCAGAGCGGGGATCGGCACCGATCATCAGGGCACTGATGATCAGTGCCCTGATGATTGGTGCCCAGCAGTGACACCCGCAAGTTCCGCCCAGCAGTGCGCCCACTAGCCCCACCCACCTGTGCCCAGCAGTGCCCCCACCTGTGCCAAGCAGTGCCCCCACCTGTGCCACTCTGCCTGTGCCCAGAAGTGCCACCTACATGTGCCCAGCAGTGCCACCCACCTGTGCCCACCCATCTGTGCCCACCCACCTGTGCCCACCAGTGCCACCCACCTGTGCCCACCAGTGCCATCCACCTGTGCCCGTCCACCAGTGCCGCCCAGCAGTGCCGCCCAGCAGTGCTGCCAGTCAGTGCCACCAGTCAGTGCCCAGGGGGGTTGTGCCAGTCAGTGCCGCCAGTCAGTGCCCAGAAGTGATGCCAGTCAGTGCCGTCTATCAGTACCCATCATCAGTGTCACCTATCAGTGCCGCCTATCAGTGCTGCATATCAGTGCCGCCTATCCGTGACCCCTAATTAGTGCTGTCTATCAGTGCCGCCTATCCGTGCCACCCTCATTAGTACTGTCTATCAGTGCCCTTTAGTGCTGCCTATCAGTGCCCATCAGTGCCGCCTATCAGTGCCCATCAGTGCCGCCTCATCAACGCAAATCAGTGAAGGAGAAAAAATACCTGTTTGAAAAATTTTATAAAAGAAACAAATAAACTTTTTTTTTTTTTTTCAAATTTTTTGCACTTTTTTTAATTTATAGCGCAAAAAGTAAAGCGCCCAGTGGCGATTAAATACCACCAAAAGAAAGCTCTATTTGTGAGAAAAAAATGATCAAAATTTCATATGGGTACAATGTTGCATGACCGCGCAATTGTCAATCAAAGTGCGGCAGCGCTGAAAGCCGAAAATTGGCCTGGTAAGGAAGGGGGTATAAGTGCCTGGTAGGCAAGTGGTTAATGGAACACTACACCTCCAACATGGCCGACCACTGGACATGACCATAATACAATTCTATTACACTCTATACGTAGAATACTACACCCCCAACATGGCCGACCACTGGACATGACCATAATACAATTCTATTACACTCTATACATAGAACACTACACCCCCAACATGGCCATAATACAATTCTATTACACTCTATACATGGAACACTACACCCCCAACATGGCCGACCACTGGACATGACCATAATACAATTCTATTACACTGTATACATGGAACACTACACCCCCAACATGGCCGACCACTGGACATGACCATAATACAATTCTATTACACTCTATACGTAGAAACACTACACCCCCAACATGGCCGGCCACCAGACATGACAATAATACAATTCTATTACACTCTATACATAGAACACTACACCCCCAACATGGCCGACCACTGGACATGACCATAATACAATTCTATTACACTCTATTAATGGAACACTACACCCCCCAACATGGCCGACCACTGGACATGACCATAATACAATTCTATTACACTCTATACGTAGAACACTACACCTCCAACATGACCGACCACTGGACATGACCATAATACAATTCTATTACACTCTATACATAGAAACACTACACCCCCAACATGGCCGATCACTGGACATGACCATAATACAATTCTATTACACTCTATACGTAGAATTCTACACCCCCAACATGGCCGACCACTGGACATGACCATAATACAATTCTATTACACTCTATACATGGAACACTACACTCCCAACATGGCCGACCACTGGACATGACCATAATACAATTCTATTACACTCTATACATAGAACACTACACCCCCAACATGGCCGACCACTGGACATCATCATAATACAATTCTGTTACACTCTATACATAAAATTCTACACACTCAACATGGCCGACCACTGGACATGATCATAATACAATTCTATTACACTCTATACATAGAACACTACACCCCCAACATGGCCGACCACTGGACATGACCATAATACAATTCTATTACACTCTATTAATGGAACACTACACCCCCAACATGGCCGACCACTGGACATGACCATAATACAATTCTATTACACTCTATACGTAGAACACTACACCTCCAACATGACCGACCACTGGACATGACCATAATACAATTCTATTACACTCTATACATAGAACACTACACCCCCAACATGGCCGACCACTGGACATGACCATAATACAATTCTATAACACTCTATACATAAAACACTACACCCCCAACATGGCCATAATACAATTCTATTACACTCTATACATGGAACACTACACCCCCAACATGGCCGACCACTGGACATGACCATAATACAATTCTATTACACTCTATACATAGAACACTACACCCCCAACATGGCCGACCACTGGACATCATCATAATACAATTCTGTTACACTCTATACATAAAATTCTACACACTCAACATGGCCGACCACTGGACATGATCATAATACAATTCTATTACACTCTATACATAGAACACTACACCCCCAACATGGCCGACCACTGGACATCATCATAATACAATTCTGTTACACTCTATACATAAAATTCTACACACTCAACATGGCCGACCACTGGACATGACCATAATACAATTCTATTACACTCTATTAACCTCCCTGGCGGTATTCCTGAGTGTAGCTCGGGGTAACATTTCAGTACCAAAAGCGGTAACCCCGAGCTACACTCGGGCTTACCCTGCGGCAGTGCTCCGGCATGTGTTCTTCACTTACCTTACCCTGCGCTCCCACGATGTGTCCCCCTGCAGCGTCCCCGGCCATCTCCTCCGGCCGATGCCGGCATCCGGCTTCTGTGTCCTGTCCCTGTGACGTCGGGACGTACGGGCGCCGCCACCGCCGGGAAATTTTAAAAATTTTAAAAAATGTCATTTTTTTTTTTTTTTACATTTTACATAGTAAAACATTGCTGTCTCAACCAATTTCACATACATTTTGTCCCGAGTGCTTTGTCCGGCGCCCTGCCTGCATTTTGTCTGTTCTTTCTGCCTGGAAACTGAGAAATGTCCATGGCGTCCAAAAAGTGTCCCTTTAGGTCAAAAGCGGTTTAGATCAGCTAGAGAACAGCGATAGTAAATCAGAACCACTTGCAGAATTGAGTGATAATGATTCGTGGGGGAAATTCGTCATCAGACACTGAAAACGATTTTGCGACTGAGCTCAGCAATGTGCGAACTTGGCGCTCTATTTCACATTTCAGTGTTTTTGGTTTGATTATATTATTGAATTAAATTTTTTTTATTATTTTTATATTATTTTTATGATTATTTATTAAATTATAATTTATGATTTTGTGTTTCAAATTTTATCATACCCGGGATGTTCACTAGACTCTTGTTCGGACAGATTTCAGTGAGTTTTTCCTAAAAATTACAGCCTACAATAAAAAAAAATACATATTTCCATGCAAAAAAATGGTACCGCTTTCAGCACCAAAAATCTGAAATAATCATACCGCCAGGGAGGTTAATGGAACACTACACCCCCAACATGGCCGACCACTGGACATGACCATAATACAATTCTATTACACTCTATACATAGAACACTACACCCCCAACATGGCCGACCACTGGACATGACCATAATACAATTCTATTACACTCTATCCATAGACACTACACCCCCAACATGGCCGACCACTGCACATGACCATAATACAATTCCTTTCCTAAACATCTCTGGTATGCAGCCCTTTCCAGACTGGGATTTTCTCTATCGTATACAAAAAGTGCAAAAGAGGGCGCACCACCTACTGCATTACTTTCAAATATTTATTAAACATTATTAATGCCAAAAACATAGTCACAAGGGCTAAATGACTAAGATCAAGGGGTGCCTGAACCCCAAAACAGACAAAAGGATTCATTTGGCCCTTGCGAGTTGATTTTTGCCAGTATTTATATTTATTACATGTTTAAAAGGTAATGCATGAGGTTTGCAACCTCTGTATTGTGTTTATTGTTAGCTCAGTGGTAGAAGCAATTTTAGTGAGTCCATGCCTGTCCCAACTTTGGCTTAGGACTTGTTTGCCCACTTTAATAAACAAAATTAAAGTTCAACAGAAACAGCTGCCCATGCCCATCTTACACGGCACCCATGTAGCTCTCCCAGCTCCCCTGACTTTCTCAGCTTTCCTGGCTCTCCAGCCCTCCAGGCTCTCAGCTCTCCCAGCCCTCCTGGCTCTCTCAGCTCTCTCAGCCCTCCTGGCTCTCTCGGCTCTGTCAGCTCTCCTGGCTCTCTCACCTCTCCCAGCCCTCCTGGCTCTCTCAGCTCTCCCAGCTTTCCTGGCTCTGTCAGCTCTCCTGGCTCTCTCACCTCTCCCAGCCCTCCTAGCTCTCTCAGCTTTCCTGACTTTCCCAGCCCTTCTGGCTCTTTCAGCTCTCCCGGCTTCTCAGCTTTCCTGACTCTCCCAGCCCTCCTGGCTCTCTCAGCTCTCCTGGCTCTCTCAGCTCTCCCAGCCCTCCTGGCTCTCTCAGCTCTCCTGGCTCTCCCAGCCCTCCTGGCTCTCCCAGCCCTCCTGGCTCTCCCAGCCCTCCTGGCTCTCTCACCTCTCCCAGCCCTCCTGGCTCTCTCACCTCTCCCAGCCCTCCTGGCTCTCTCAGCTCTCCTGGCTCTCTCAGCTCTCCTGGCTCTCTCAGCTCTCCCAGCTTTTCTGGCTCTGTCAGCTCTCCTGGCTCTCTCACCTCTCCCAGCCCTCCTGGCTCTCTCACCTCTCCCAGCCCTCCTGGCTCTCTCACTCTCTCTCCCAGCTCTCTCAGCTTTCCTGACTTTCCCAGCCCTTCTGGCTCTTTCAGCTCTCCCGGCTTCTCAGCTTTCCTGACTCTCCCAGCCCTCTTGGCTCTATTAGCTCTCCTGGATCTCTCAGCTCACCCAGCTCTCCTGACTTTCTCAACTTTCCTTGCTCTCAGCTCCTCTGGCTCTCTCAGCTCTCCTGGCTCTTTCAGCTCTCCTGGCTCTCTCAGTTCACCTGGCTTTCTGTGCTCTCCCAGCTCTCTGGCTCTCTCAGCTTTCCTGGCTCTCTCAGCTCTCTTGGCTCTTTCAGCTCTCCTGGATCTCCCAGCTCTTTCAGCTCTCTTGGCTATCTCAACTCTTCTGGTTCTCCCGGCTCTCTCAGCTCTCTCAACTCTCTTGCCTCTCTCAGCTTTCCTGGCTCTCTCAACTCTCCTGGTTCTCCCAGCTCTGCTTGCTCTCTTAGGTCTCCTGGCTCTCTCAGCTCTCCCAGCTTTCTTGGCTCTTTAAGCTTTCCTGGCTCGCTTGGCTTTACCAGCTCTCCTGGCTC